TAATAAATAGAGCTGACATTTCCTTGTGTCAGCTCAGTGAATCAGTGGACAGCACTGCTGCCTTGCAGCAAGAATGTTCTGAGTTCGATTCCTGGCCTCGGAGTCTTTCTGCATGGAGTTTGCATGTTCTCCCTGAGCATGCATGGGTTCTCTCTGGGTACTCTGGCTTCCTCCCAAAGTCCAAAAACATGACTGTTAGGTTAACATTCTGGACATATTGCCTTACTAGAGCACTATATGAACATATATTATGTCTGGGACTGATTTGCTTTTGCAGAGCCTAACAATTGATTTTCATGAACCATGAATTCAACTCTCCAGCAGAAGATCCTAAAAGAGGATGCTCAGAAAACCCTTTTTTTAAATTAACATTAGGTGGACATGAGTTAAACAACAGGACGTGAACTTAAATACAAGTTAAGCTAATAATGGCTTACCAAAATAAAGGTTTTCGAGTACTGACCTATAATTTGTGAACACATTAAACTTGTGTATGTAAGTTTTTCTTTACTTTTTGTAAGCTCTCAATAGGTATTAACTTCAATTTTGTCCCGTGAAACCATAGTACCCCCCAAACACCGCAACCTTTTCCTCATTAATTAATAATCTTTTACAGTTAAACAATACAATTGCATCTAAAAAGCCTAATTTTCTGTTATATTGAATTCTTAATGTTCAGGAGGCTTATCAGTTAAACTGTTGTTGTGCATCACCAACAAATAAATATTTGTATCAGCCTTATATATTATTTCGTTAAAAAAAACATGCAGTAATAACTACACTTGCATATAGGAAGATATAAGAGAGCTCTCTACACGTGCTGCTTTTTTGTCACATCTTAATTTCTCATCATAGTGACTGAATCTGATATAATCTTATGAATCTTTTAATTATCATGTTTTTCTATATTTTCTTAGTGAAAAGATGTTCAGGAAGCAGATTGAATAACGGGTTTTGTTAATGCTGTGAGGCACAGCAGAAGTGAATAACCAGATGAGGTAAAATGTCAGGCATGCCATTCATCTCGCTGACGTGGGTCAATGCCAGATCTGTGTGAAGGAAAAATAGACGACCTTGTTCATTCATTACCTTTCTGCAAACACAAAACTACATATCCTCCATTTTATGTTTTAATGGTTCACATTCATAAATAATTTAATATTAACATATTAGGTTATATTACAGACTTTTAGGTGAATATTTCTGGGCCAGTGGTGGCAATTAGGGAAGCTGTTACATGAAAGTAACTCCAAGAACTCCATCTAGTGTACAGTTGAAGGAAGTGTGGCTGTGGCACATGTTTATCATACTGATCAGGGACTTGCAAAGATAGAGACTAGGTGGTGCTAGAGTACCCTTTAACCTCTGGACCACAAAGTGTCCTCCTGAAATTGTTTTTTTGTTTTTTACTCTTTTAAGTATTTAGCCCAAAATACCATTTATGAATTTAAAAGCCTGTCAAACCTGTGTAGCACCACCTCAATAGTGCCTTGCCCTGGTGAAGGGCCAGGCTAAATAAACGTATTTACCTCCTTCTCCAACCAATTAGTTCATAGCATATCATATTAATTGGCCTCAACCAGGCACCAAGGAACGGTTTAAAATGCAACTCTTTAATTAAATTAGAAAGAAAATGTACCCTAAAGCATCTCATAGATGTAATTGTTGTTTTGCTATAATGGTTTCTGACAGGGAATCCTTGATGACATCTATCTGAATTTTTTTTATGACAACTACAGCACACAACTTACCTTTTGTCTGTTAAATAAGCGAAAATAAGATCAAACATAACGCCAAATAATCACCATTTGTAAAATTAACTTTAATAAAGTTCTATTCAATTAAAAAGGCCGCGTAGATTAAGCTGCATTTTTTATTTCTGTGTTTATATTGGACTGCAAAAAATGACCAGAAAATATTTAACATTTTCTGAAAATAAAAATTTTTCCCTAATTTGGACAGGGAAATAAGATGATCTGTCAGTGGAATCAGAGTTTTGAACCTGAAAATAAGAATATTACATAGTATGCACTTAACTGAAATCTAAATAACTCATTTTTTTCTTAAAATAAGTGCATTTTGTCTTGAATTTAGGAGGTAAGTGAGACACTGGCAGCATTGCGAGGCAAGGGCTCAAACATGTACGGCTGTAAGCCTTCTACACCAAACCAAGCTTCTGCAGCCCTGGCGTCCTCTTACTTAACATCTCGTCCCCACTTTCCGCCTCTAAATAAAAAATGGATGATGGAGGAGACTCATTCACGACCTCTGACACTAAACTCTCCTCCTCTTGCATGTTTCCGCTGTCCATAGCGTTCCTTGACAGTGTTGTTGCTAAGTGCTACTTGGTCCCAATGTAATTTCACATTGGGAACCTACTAGCACTAAGTTGCTAACTGGTTAGCAAGATGCTTCTGACAAACCGGCCACAACCAAACATGCTTGTGAACCTTCCGCCACAACAATCCCGCCCTCTTGATAATCGACCAATCACATTCACTTTATTCACTCGTGTAAAGTTTGACACCACTCAGGAGAATTCTGAAATGCAACGGTTGGAACGGCCATTTCCCTACAACTTTAAGTAAACATATCAAAAATATGATTGACAATTAGAAGGACCACTTATTTTGATGATCCACCCAGAAATAAAAGATCGTCCTCCTTACTTTAATAGTCCTACATGCAACTGCAGCAATCCTCTAGTGACCCTTAATATTCAAGCAGGGTTCCTTAAAACCCTATTAGAGACATTATGGACCCAATAGTTACCTCAACTTGCCAATATATTACCATAAAAGTAACCTTCTTATCCCCTTTAATTTGTTAACTGTTTCAACTTCCTCTAAAGTTTACCGTTCAAACTATCCGCCCAGATGCTAAGGTAACTTGCAGATTATGTAAATAGAGTAATTTGTATGTAAAATTTACTGTTAATTCCACAGTTAATTTTTTATTTTTTACACTTGGATTAAGACTAATTTTTTTTCCTTTTTCTTTCTTTTTCATTAATAAATTAATGTGTAACAGCCTGTGTGTATTCTGCCGTCACACCCAAACTTACCCAATGTGGGACAATAAAATGTTGCAGACAGTTTTATTATATGTTGATCATTGGAAAGCTTTTTAACATCAAGCATTTTAACCTCTCTTCGAAAAACTAAGTACAACTCATAATGCAATGTAAGCAAACTCTTTTTCTGTTTGAAGTTCATATTAAAAAAAGTAATCCCTTTATTGTGGAGGGATTTTGTTATGGTTTTCTTTAAAAAACCTTAGCTTCAAACTGTTATGGTTAGTCACTACTTTCTTTAGGTCAGTATAACCTGCAACATTCAAGTCGAATTGAGTTTTGGACTTGGAGTGAATTACAGCAACGTCTAAATGTTTTTTTTTTTTGCAGGACAACTTTGAATGGTGGGCTGATGAGCTTTTGGCTGTCTGGAAAAAGTCTTTCATTGCTACCTTTGATTGTTAAATGAGCTGTTTCATTAATTAAACCAATACCTCCAGAGCGGCTAACTGCTGTTGCGCAATATTGACAGCAAACAAATGCATTTTGAACAACAATCCTTAAATCATACAAAGGCAGTAATGGTACACTGCAAAAAAAATAAAAAATCAAAATCTAGATAAGTCATGTTTTCTTAAAATAAATGCATTTGTTCTTGAATTGAGGAGATAAAAGAGACATCTTGCCAATGGAACAAGACAATTTAGATTTAAAATAAGAAAACACAATTGCATTGTCTTATTTCAAGTGAATATTATCTAATTATCTTATTTTAAGCGTAAAAATACTGATTACATTGGCAAACTATCTCATTTACCTACTCAAATCAAGGGTAAATAAACTTAATTTAAGAAATTTGTACTTATTTCTAGATACTTTTTCCAGTGTATCTCTAGTTTTATTCATCTACGTACCACTAACACGAAAGAGTCTTGACTCAGCACCACTTTCATCCGGCCGTTTGGATTCTTCGTTGTGTACATTTCAAGTTTTACCTTCTAAGTTATTGATATTCAACAAAATAATCAATCCATATCTTTAATTTACTTTTAACAGTGAAACAGTTTAACATACAGCAAAAGCACTTCTCATTTTATACAAATACAAGAACAAACAACAATAAAAACCATCTAATTCAAGCTTTTTCCAAATAGTTAATGTCTGAGCACAAGGATAAACACACCAGCGATGCTGCCAGTTCAGTGATCCACAGTAAACTATCAGACGGATCTGATCATGTTGTAGTGATGCTACAGAATTTTAACAAACAGGCAGCTTATAGGCATGGACGGATTGTGAGACAGCAGAATGAAAAACACGTTGAAAAACACATTGAACTGGACACCTTAAACGAATGATGATTGAAGCTGGTTTTGTTGGATTTTACTTTTCTACCACTTTTAGTGTAGTTGTGTCTCTGTCTTACTAATAAATTATGTAAGACGGTTTGTTGCTCGTTGTGTGTGAGTTTTGATACACTCTATTTGAACTTGTTTTGCATCTCCTTTAGTTATTTGCATGCATTCATGTCCTGGATGCCCTTTTCTGTTACTGGTCTGTAGAAAAACTCACAACTCTTTGATAATTTTTCCACCTTTGTTTAACTGAATTGTGTTTTTGTGCCTTTTGTGTCACCATTAAGTTTTGACAGCGATTCATTTACCGGTAAATTAAGGTTCTATCCTTTCTTTTGCTGTGAGGAAATGATCACTGCTTGGACTAAATCTGCCTGTGTTTGTATTGTGTTTGTGCCTCATTGCTGTTGTCTGTTTGTGGTTTGGTTCCATCTGTTTGTTAATCATTTCTTTTTTTCTATGTTTACAATGTACAGTACTTTGCAAAAATATCCAACTCACATTATCTTCTTAAAGATTTTCTTACATTACAACCAAGGACTTGAACTTAACTGAGCTTTTATATGATAGATCAACACCAAGCAGGACCCAAATGAAGTGAAGAAATAATCAGTTCTTGGCAAATAAATATCTGTAAAGTTTGACCTGCATTTGTGTTTTGCCCATTTTCCTCTGATGCTCCTAAATAAAATTCTGCTTTAAAAATGTCATCTGTGTGTGTGTGATGGAGCTTTTCTTTCTCAGAGATCTCAGAGGTTTGATGGAGAGCACCGCAGAGCTCCTAGCAGCTGCATAGATCCTAGACTCAGATGGGAGAATCTGTCAACAAGAAAACTATTAGTGGGCGAAATGTGTGGCATGAGATACATTTTCAAAGTCAATCTGAAAAGTTCTCTAATTTGTTGTTTCCCACAAATTAATTAGGTGACATTTTGCAAATGAATAGAATAAAGTAACTTTGCTAGATTAGCAGAAAAATGTTGCTTTACTATCTATTTACTAACTATTTGGGTTCTAAACACAAATGCATGTCCCACTTGTACAGAGATTTTTTTATCTTATATTATTTAAATTGTGTAATGATTTCTTTCAACTAACATTTTGCACCAATTTGCATAAATCTGTCCCATAAAACTAGGAAATGTGTTGCTGTAGGAGGAGAAAATGTGAAAAAGATCAAAAGGAAAGACAAGTGCAAGGCTTTGTATCTGGTACTTGTTTCATAGTAGTAGTTATCTTGTGTAAAAACAATCTCCTTATAGAATCTGCTGGGGGATCTGCCTGTGCATTTATTTAATTCTTTCTACTTGGTCTCCTTTTCCTCCATTGGATCAAGGAGGCAGGTTTGGGCGAGAGCCATTGTCACTGCGTAGGGGTCGCAGTTTGCTGCAGGGCGGCGGTCCTCGAAGTAGCCCTTCCGGTCCTGGCCCACCTGTCGGGGGATGCGGATGCTGGCTCCTCGGTTGGCGACGCCAGCAGAGAAGTCCTCGATGCTTGAGGTCTCATGCAGACCCGTGAGGCGCCTCATGTTGTCATTGCCTCCGTGTGGGTCGTACACCTGAAGGTGCTCTCTGTGCTTTTTGCTAAGCCTTTCTATGGCCTGCTCGATGTACCTGTCAGAAGAGAGAAAAAGTGTTTGACTCATTATTTAAATGTCAGAATTTAAGATGAAGAACATAGAAGTAGATGATCTTCTATCAGTCTTCAAAAGCACATTTCCCCTCTGTTCATTTAGCTCCCCTGGCTACCATCAGCCGCCCACATCACATTCAAATAACTGATGTTAACCTACGCATTGGTTAATTGGACTCCCACCTACTTAAATGCAGGCTTATGTCACGGCTCACTCACTCTGGTCATCAAGGGATTGCCTGCACCATGCTAAAGAGATTCCAGAAACATCTTCGTCGTTCTGCTCTTCCCTTCCACCTGCGCTCCATTTCTACACCTTCACCTCTGACCAAACCAAAGTAGTCTTCCCTCTGAGTAGCTTTTTGTTATCTTTATTACTAATGGTATTCTTTTTGTTTGGAAATCGCTTTGGATTGAAGCTTTTGCCAAAACCATAAACACAAACAGTTTGAGGGTTTTACACAATATATTTTGAATTATCTATTTTTTTTTTACCAGGCTCTAAATTATTTGAAACTATTTTCAGATATGTTATTTTCATTGTTGAAAAAAAAAGCAAAGCTGGAGAAATATGTGCTTTTAAACTATTAAGCATATTTGGAGGAAATCAAACACAACATATCAGCAAAACCCCTAATATAGCTTCATTTGTGTGTGTCTCAGAGCCACAGGAAATGCACAACCTGCAATCATTGAAACAACCAGAAACCGTCCTATATACCAACAGTTTCTAAAGTCAAATACCAGCCACATCCTGTCATCAAGCAGTATTTTTTTTTAGGTGTAAAGCAGATTTTTTAATAAGAATGAAAGGATCAAGGTGTTACAAGGTGGCTCAGTAAAGTACAGTCCTCAGTTTATACTTTCCTTAAAATTATAAATACACTTCTAAATCATGAATTTCTTAGTTAATGTGATTTCTCTTTGAATTTTCATCCTTGCCCAGGATTACTAAGAACCTTTGAAGGGACTTTAAAAAGCAAAGTAGAACCAGATGGTCTTAAATTTTCCTCATGTACTCTCTAAAGCCCAGTGGAATCCATGGTGGTTTCCATGGAGATGAGCTAAAAAGGTCCTTCTGTAGCAAACTATCCTAGAACCATGACCCTTCTGCCCCCAGGCTTCACAGTGTTTTCGGTATGCTGTATTTAATTAATGACAATTTGTCCTTTGCTCTGTAATCCAAGTAATCTGATTTAAGACACATATGTCTGAATCATATTCAGAAGATGCTGTCTTTTTTATTTTTTCTCCTCCAAACTACTTTGGCCTTTATATATTCTTAGAGAGCAAGAAACACCTCCCAGGAAAGGTAAACCACCGCATTTGCATTGTTATTACAAGAGATAGTCTGTTGCTGATCTCTTAAATACATCTAAAGGTTTTTGGTAGTATCTTGTAGTATCTTGCAATCTGCTCTCAAGGTAAATTCGCTTGGACAACCAGATTTGGGCAAATTGGCTCTTGTTTTGAATGTTCTCCACTTTCATACTCTAATGTAAAAAAAATTTCTTTGTTTTTAATAATTAGGGGACTTCTTTGGTCAAATCTGTTCCCTGAAGGCATCATGTAGCTCTCTGGATGTTGTCTTAATGCTCCTGCCGGTTTTATTGGTCATACTAGAAAAACGATCTAGAAATAAGTAAACATTTCCTAAATTAAGTGTATTTCCCCTTAATTTGAGTAGGTAAATGAGATAGTTTGCCAACGGAATGAGTAGTTTTACTCTGATAAATAAGATAATTAGATAATATGCACTTGAAATTAAACAATGCTATTCTGTTTTCTTATTCTAAGTGTAAATTGCCTTGTTCCATTGGCAAGATGTCTCTTTTACTGCCTTAATCAAATGCACTTATTTTAAGAAAAAAATAACTCGTCTAGATTTTGATTTTTTCCAGTGCAAAAACAAAAATATTTACTATGTTATGTCTTTGAAAGCCTCAGAATTAGATATTTACTTTAATCATGACAGATGTTGAAGAATCATAAGAAATATTCATAAATATTTACTCACTTCAGTCCTTCATCTTCCCTCATCTGCTTGGTGCTGATGTTTGTGTGGCAGCCGGCACCATTCCAGTTGCCTTTTATCGGTTTGGGGTCCAGCGTTGCAACCACCCCGAAATCTTCACACACACGATGCAGAAGGAAACGAGCCATCCACAGATGGTCTCCCATCTCAATGCCTTCGCAGGGGCCTACCTGGAACTCCCACTGAAGAAAGGAGAGAGGCTGTTATCAGAGGAGAAGCTCAATGGTTCCGTTTAATTGCTTTCATAGCTGAGGATTACCTGGGAGGGCATAACTTCAGCGTTGGTACCATAGATATTAACCCCCGCGTAGAGGCAGGCTTTGTAGTGACACTCCACAATGTCCCGTCCATATGCATGGTTTGCTCCCACTCCACAGTAATAAGGGCCTTAAAGTGGTAGGAAAAAAGCTAAAGTTTAGAAAGCATCATTGGCTCTAAAAAGGAGAAAACTTGATTTATTTTTCTTGTTGTAACAATTGGTTCCATCTCATCGGTACGCCTGTTTGTTTCCCTTTAAATGTTGCCTCATTTGCAAGGAAAAATACTTTTGTAGAGATGCAAAACCGCCAAAATCCTCTCTGCTAAAGCCAAACAGTGATATCTGCTGGTGACTCACTGTTTTTTACTGGCTTGGATGATTGCAGTTTAAGGACACAACACACAGTGGGTCTAAGTGGTGCATGGATTAAACTCTTAACCCATTAATGAATTCCCAAGTGTTGTGCCTGTGCCACTATTTAGGAAGAGATAAACATGTCCTCAGCCAGTATAAGTCTAATTGAAGGGAGGCATCGATATGATAAAGGAATATGTTAATCAACTCAACAAAAATAAGCTTAATTTTCTTTTTTGAGTTCATGCAAATTATTTGAAAATGTTTTTTTTAGCTCTTTAGAGTTGATAAAACATTATGGTTCGCTACATAATATCTGCTATGGGATGTTATAGTGTATTTGTTTTGATGGTTTTATCTTAGAAAGATTTTAAGAGTTTATAACTGATGATAATTGTTTTAAAAACAAACAACACTCTGATCAAAGTATTTATGCCGTTTTGAGTTAAATTATTATCAAAACTAACTTTTATTTTGATTTTATTCTGATGTGTATATAAAAAATCAATTCAGAGCAAAGGGAATCCCTTGTTTGTGTGCAAAAACTTGATGGATGAAGCAGGTTCTGGTGTCAGATTGAATCTCCTCCTGTTGCAGTTGGATCTTACTAATCAGAAAAGTGGCAACATAAGAGCTTTTAGGATTGGGGTTTTATTTGTTGTGCATTGATTGTGTTTTATGACTCAACATTCGCTGGTTTCTCATTTACAGTGATTCCAGAAGATATTCTCTTACTGCTGTTGGTCTGGCTAACCTTGTGTTGTTCAGATGGATGTTTGTTTATAAACACAGCTGACTTTAACCCCGGCACATACATCTTGTAATGATCTTGGTTCTGTTGTTTTTCTCTAAGTTTTCAGTTTCAAGTTTAGCCAGGTTTTTCCTTGTTTTCTAGCTTTATTGGTGTGTCTGGATTAATTTAAGTTGCTTAGGTTTTTTTGTCTGTCCTCTGTTGCCTCCTTGTGTTCTTTTCCCTTGGCTTCCTCATCAGCTCTAGTCACACCTGCTCCTTATCAGCTCATTAGTCCTACCTTTGTTCAGTCAGCCATAAATACACTCCCTCTGCAGTCCCTCTTTGCTGGTTCCTCGTCTTATTTCATCCTACCCTGGCTCCTCATGACTTTTTCCCCTGATGTCTCCATGGTCCTGGTTAGTGTTCAATTCTTATGTTGTTGTTTTTTCATTTCTCTTTTGATTTACATTTTTAAGTTGGATTTTTGGATTCCTGTTTTTGCTGCCTGATTTTTCATTAAACCTTGCAAGATCTCACCCCTGCCTCTCAGCTTCTGCGTTTGGGTCCTAACAAAAACCTTAAAACCAAATTGTGACACATCTGCATTGCAAAGATATTTATGCTTCTTGAACCTTTCCATGTTTTTCTCTATTTACAACCACAAACTTTCGTATTTGAAGGGGTTTGAAAAATATCGGTGATCAAAACAAACACCTGAGAGGTTTGTCATGTATTTCTATCCAACTGCTGTTACTCCACTGCTCCTAAATAAAATCTAGAATAATCTCTCTTCCTCAGTCTTTTGGAGGCTCTAATCCTCTTTCAATCTTCCTGTAAAAACAACCTCCCTGTACGTGTTGAAGAAAACCATCCCTACAGCATGATGCTGCCATCACTCTATTTGACCAAACAGTGGGTAATTTATGCAGTTTTAGGTAGGCTTCAACCATGCATCACATTTTGTTCGTAAGAGAGTTCAAATTTGGTCTGTTCTGTGCAGAACGCCTAAATCCACATGCCTTCTCCGCTAGATCGCCAGTTGCAAAATGGACATTTATGGCTTTCCTTCAGCTGAGGCCTTTTACATTTCACTCCATCCTTCTTCTGCCCAGGTTACACTAGGATGGTGTTTATCACTAACAGTCTACAGGGAAAAGACAGGGTACAAAATGAACCGGTATGCCAGTCTGTCACAGGGGAATGCAGAGAAACACAGCGATGCATACACACTAAAACCTAGAGGGCAATTTAAAAACAACAATTTACCTAACAGTCATGTTTTTGGACTACATCGGGAAGCAAGACTACCAATACATGCACATGCACAGGGAGAGCATGGAAACTGCGCAAAAAGAGCCTTCGTGGGAAATCAGATGCAAGCAGAAACCTTCTTGCTGCAAGAAGAAAGTCGTACAAACTACACCACTTGTAAAACCTACAATCTTCTACAAAATTCTCCCACCTGAGCTCTGAATCCCTGCAGAGCTTCTAAAGTTACCACGTTCCTTGTCTGACTAATGTTCTCGTTTTAAGGTGAAACTCTCATCAAGTATTTTATTTAGGTTATCAGATCAAAGGGGAGCCACTTTCTTTTTAGATTTTTTTTCCTTTTATCTATAAACCTGATGTTTCCCAATCCTGTCCTTTACATGATATTTTACAGGGCTCTGCAACCTGTGGCTCCCGAGCCCGTCTATGGCTAAAGTCGTCAGTCGCTAAAGAGCAGATGTTAATGAAAAAGATCAAAATGCTTTTTCTAAAAACATCAACATGACAGAAACACATATTTGAAGTTGTGGTGTAATATTTCTAAACTGAAAACTTTTTGGCCTCAAACTGTTTAATATTTCCCAAAAATCATAGATTGGTAATTGGTAATTAAGAGGTATTGAAAACTGAACTAGAATTAACTTTATTTTACCGTTAAAAGAGACACATTTTATCTGACGGATGCTTATTATTTCCAGGGTAACTGGAAAATTCACCTTGAGGCCCTGGGAATCCATTCGGAGGCCAGCTAAATGGATGCCCATCTATTCCCAGGAGTGTGTACTCCTGCTCCATGCCGAACCACATGGAATCCTCCTTAATCTGCTCCATCACTTTGTTGCAGGTGTGCCGGTGGTTGGTTTCTGGAAGAGCAGGAAGAAAATGAAGCACAGATTGTTTCTCCTGATTACAGCAGAGGGGAAAACAAAGTGAAATGAGACAAACGTACCAGCAGGTAGGCGGTTATATTTAAGGACCTCACAGAGGACGAGTTTGTTGGGGTCCAGGGTGAAAGGATCCCTGAACATGCAGACTGGAATGAGGTACATGTCACTGTTGGAGCCTTCAGCCTGGTAGGTGCTCGATCCATCGAAGTTCCACTCAGGAATATCTGATGATATACAAAAGAAAGGGCTGTCAGGTCAAAACAGAACCTGATCTGTAGCATTCTTAACATGAGACGTTTAGTCAGATGATGTCAGCATAAAAAATAAATGGTGCACACTTTCAGATCAGTGCATAAGATTAGAGAGGGAACGTCACAGAGAAAAACACTCACCTATTTACTGTCAAGGAAATAATAACCTGCTTTAGTTTGTCGTCACATGAGGGTGTGATTTTTTAACAAAATGTGAGCTATGAAAAGTGTCAGGTGTGTCTGCTAATCCACATGTATGAACTACTTAACATTCACCATGCAAACAGATCAGGTCATGTCTATTACTGATTAAATTACACTTCTAAGTTTCCATCAAGCATATTTCTAAATTACAGCTGTAAATATTCACTCGTTTCATTTGATAACATGAGAGCTGTCTGTTTTTATGGTCCTGAAATAAGATCAATATATGTTTTAGGCTCAGGGGGGGGCATTTACCATTAGGCAATAGTAGGCAGTTGCCTAGGGCCACAAGTTTCTGGGGGCCCCATTACAACTCTGTTTAAATGTATAGTTAATACAATTATTCCTTATTTGTGCACATTAATTATGTTCTTGATAAAAATCATTTCGCTAAAATGCCATCAGAATGTTTATGCACAATATTAAGTGTGTTAAGTGTCAGCCCCCCACCCACCAAACCAAAATAATGTATGTCTATTCTATAAAAAATTCTGTGTCTGTATAATGGGTCTGTTTTATGTGTTGTCTTCTCAATTCAGAGGGCCCCCCACCTGTCTTTGCCTAGGGCTCCAAATTTCCTAAATCCACCCCTGTTTAGGCTACGCTATTTTTTTAATTGAAATATATAAAATTTTTTATACAGGATCTTAATTTATAACAACTATTATTAATTCAATTTGAAACAATGAAAAATAATAAAGTACATTTTACGAAAAAAAACTCACAATAGCAAATGTTTGTAATTGATTAAAATGTTCACTTATGAATAATGTTATATCAGTTTTACTAAGTTATATAGATGACTGTGCTTTAATGATACAGAAAGACATTTGAACAATTCTTTAGCAATACCATCACAAACATACATGCATATAGATATATCTATATATAGATATCTACACTGTAAAACGATCTAGAAATAAGTTAAAATTTCCTAAATAAAGTGTATTTACCCTTAATTTGAGTAGGTAAATGAGATAGTTTGCCAATGGAATAAGTATTTTTACTCTGAAAATAAGATGATTAGATAATATGCAGTTGAAGTAAGACAATGCAATTGTGTTTTCTTATTTTAAGTGGAAGTTGTCTCGTTCCATTGGCAAAATATCTCTTTTACCTCCTCAATAGAAGAAAAAATGCACTTATTTTAAGAAAAAAAGACTTACCTTGATTTCCATTTTTTCCAGTGTATATCTATACATATCTCAATTTTTCTCTTATGATAGTTACATGTATCATACTTTATTAAGCTTATGTAGTTATGCTAAATAGGTTATAGAATCACATAAAAAAAGAAGATCTGTTCTTTATTGAATGCTAATAAGCTTCCTTTCATTTAATTGACCTGAATAACAGGCTTTTTAAGTACAATTGTAAAAAGAGGACTTTATGGTGTGTGTTTTCCGTACCTTCAATGCTTTTTGGTTCCGAGTCCAGGGTCCTTGTCTTGTTGCGGAGCCCCTCTCCGGTGCCATCCACCCAGATGTATGTAACCTGGCATTTCTCCCCCTGAGGCAGTTTCATGTACTGCTGCCGGACCGCCTTGTTGAGACGAGAGCTGCTGGATACCGACGCCATGGTGTCCTGCAATCAGGATAGTTTCATCAGGACATTATTACATTAATATCACCTTCCTTTTTACACCAGCTGTATTCAGCTTCTTTCTTGTATATTGAGCTTCATTAGTCTGATCACTCTGCTCTGATTTTCTCATTTTAAACTAAAGATATTTAGGCAGTTTTTATGAAAATATCCATTATTATCAAACACAGAGCTATAAAGACATAAAATGAATAAAATAACAATAAATAAAGACATAAAATGTTTAGAGTCTGATTTAATAATTTTTTTGTGGAAATTCACAGAGTAACTGCTCCATTTTTGTAACTTTGTAACACAATGCAGCCAATTTAAAGTCAGTTTTACACTTTTAATTTCTCATTACAACTAAATACATGTATAAATAAAGAAAATTGTATCTGTTTCAAAAATTTTTACCTGAAAACATGATTTATATTCACCCATCTTTAGATGCAGTTAAGCTTCTTTTTATGGCAAATTATGAAGCTGGATTTTATTTAGAGGTTCTAAGAAAACTTCTTAGGCATATATTTTGTAGCATGAATCTCCAAACTAAAATGAATAGTTTTACAAAAAAGGGGTGCAAATAAATTATGTGAAAAGTACAAATATTTATAGCAGAATAAAGATTTTCTTTTGGTCTAAAAAATTAGCAGGAAATATTTTTAAGTTAAAAAGAGTTTTTTTTTTTTTACATCCGAATATGAGACATATTAGAGAGAGAATGATAAATAAGTAAGCTCCAGTGGTTCTACTGAGAATCATATTTAATCTGACAGTAGATTACCTTAACTAATCCCCAGATTATACATAGATCAGGCAACTAAGTTAAGTTTGGACCAAAAAGTTTGTGTCTGATTTGAAAAAGGACACAGAAACATATTGGATGAGATTAAAGAAAGAAAAGTTTCTCTCTTCATATTTGAACAATGATGGAAAATTGTTACGTTTTTTTGGAAACAAGCATTTAAAAAGTCTTAACTTTTAACTGATTTAACTGATTACTAATTAAAAGCTTCATATAATTGCTGAGCAGTTGCTCCACTGGTATATTTTAATCAATCGTCATCAGCTTTTGAGATCTAAAGGCGTCCTTGTTACTTTGTTGGGTTCAAGTCAGGAAACGTAAATCAAATAAAACAAATGAAAAGATCCCTTTAAAAGTATAATTTCTTTGAGTTGAATAAAGTTTGGATTAACTTTAGTTTTTAAAATAAAAAGTCAAAGGTTTTGCTTTCTCTAAGTTTAAAAAAGATTATTAAAGTCAGCATGATTAAAAAAGCAACTTTGAGAAAGCAAAAGCCGGTGAACACATGGCTGGACCTTCGTTACTAGACATTAGTGTGTCATCAGCGTACGTGATCATTTACAACAGCTACATTACATTCAAGGGAGCAATTCTTCCAAAGATATAGATTTTAAACCACTTATATCTATCTGTTTCATTATGTTTATAGATTATATTAAAACTTATTTTTCTACTTAAATTCCTCCTTTCTTCTAACTATTTATCTTTGAGATACATGCTACACATATATAACAAAACTGCCCCAAAAACTCAATTTATCTGTTAATAAAAGGTTTAAACTCATGAGTAGAAATGATTAAACCAATACTAATAATGCTTTTTAGCAGGAATTTTGTTTCTATGTTACAATCATCATAAGTATTTTCACTTACTTTACAACAGGTGGCTTGACGAGTAGTTTCGGCTGTGGCTGTCAGCCCAGAAAGTGATGAACCTGAACCTGTTTGTGGTATTTAAACGTCCTGCAATGTGACATTTCAAAGGTTCCCAGTCGCTGTAGGAGGAGTTATTGGCATTTCATTTGTTGTCACTACACACATACGGTTATTGCCTTCACACAAAACAGGAAAACAAAGTTTTCTGAAGCTAAAACTAATTAATCTGATCTCCTAAATGGAAGATAACAAAATTACCTGCAATTCTGACTACTACGATCCAAAGCAGCAACAACAGGAAATATATTGAAGCGATATCAGTCACATTAGCCTAAAAAAACAGCTGAGAAACAACAGAATCCCAAAAGAGATGGAGACAAGCACCCACCTGTGCTGGAGGAGACCTTTTGCTGATACTGAGTGACTGTTTGCTGAGCTGAGAGTCTCGCAGCTCACTGAACACAATTAGAGTCCAGAAGCTGCTTGTTCTGTATGTTCAGTTTCCGTCAGATTAACTGTAAGAGAAACGAGTCGGGCAGAAATTTAACAACTCAGAAAAAGGAAAAAAAATCAAAGTGAGATGCAACACTGAAGGGATGAACAACAGGAATAAGGACAGCTGAAATAAGATGCATTTCGTTTAGGGCTTTTAATAGTTTATCTGAACCAATCATTTAAAAATTGGGATAGTTTTACAACAAAGTATATCAACGATAGAATAAATCTATCATGGATATTCTGAAAAATCATACATCCTGGCACTAATAAGTACATTTACGTGTTTAAATCTATTACCCTTGTGTTATCTTCTAAGTGAGAATGACCAGGTTCATAAAAGTATGTAAACTACAAAGCAGGCTTTTAAACAGGTTCTGCAACGGCACGATACACAAATAAAACTATCCTACAAACTCTTCCTAGGAAAGGGTTCCTGTTTGGCAGAAACCTGTTTTTAGATCAAGGTGCAATTTTCAAAACCAGAATAATGTAATCAACTGGTTTTCCTTAGATAGAAAACTTTGAATCAATTTGACTGTATGATCTGGTTGAACTGTAAAGTGCCTTGAGATGACATGTGTTGTGAATTTGCGCTATAGAAACAAACCGAATTGATTTGAATCACAATCAAGTTTAAAATAACACTGAACCAGATTTTATTTAGGTTCATGAATATTATATATGTATATAATTAAAACCCCATAGGGATAGAAAATAGAAATATAACCTTTTGAAATCTATTTTTGTTTTTCAACAGCACAAATTTTAAAGACGATTTTGTGTCTTTGATGAAATGGCATGAACATCTCTGCTTCTCTGTGTGAACTGCTCTCTTAAGATGAGAAAAATGCACCAAGGCATAAAAAGCCAATAGAAACGTCACCTTTGCTCTGTGCTCTGGCAGATAATCACAGCTTGCTGTAACCTGTCCTCTACAGACTCACAGGGACAATACTACAAATATCTCTTTCAACATGTTAATACTAACAGTCAATAAGTGTTTAGTGTGTAGATATGAAGTTCTGATATCAATACTTTAAAAAAGAATTCAGAAGTTTAGAAGAGATCTGGTTAAGTCTTAATGGGACTGAGATAATGTTAAAAGAGCCTTAAATCTACAATGAAAACAAACACCTTGTCACCATTCAGCACAGACCCCGATGCTTTCTACCAGTGGGATGTGTTTACTGGAGCAGGTCACTTAAACATATGGGTTTAATGGAAAGGTTTTATTATTGGAATAGATGGGGAAATTCTGGTGTTCACAGCAGCAAAAAGATAATAGAAAAAAAATGTCACACAAATGTGGACCTTAGAAAAATGTATAAGAATAACATACTATTGAAGAGTTAAAAGATAAACAATAAAATACTGCACTGTAAAGTACTTTAACAATATAAAATTGTTCACCTGGAGAGTAAATAACCATTATACAGCTATAGACAGTTTTACAGAAATGGATATTTGAAAATAGCAGCAACATCAGAGATGTGCAAAAAGACAGCATGTTATTTAACTGACTGAGACAGAAATTGTGCAAAATCAGCATGAATGTAACAACTTGTTTAGTTTGTTGGGAACAGTGGTGGTTATAAAGCCTTAAAGGAATAGTACACCCAAAACATGATTAGCCTTCATTTTCTACTCACCCCCATGCTGAACAACACTCTGGAGTACTTTTTTGATATCTCAAATCCATCTGGAGATCGGGGAGGCTTCCTGCTGTC